TGCTATTTATTTATAAAGAATTAAAGTGTAGGTTTCGTTGGATAATGCATATATTTAACAAAGAAAAATTTGCATTTAAACTTTCTCATTTTTGTTGAATAAATCAAAGATAGAAATACAAAAAAATATATACTTATATAGTTTTATGATTGGTCGAATTAAAGAAGCGTCGATCCAAAAAACCCTAATGACAATCAAGCTCAAGAACATAACTAGATTTATTGGCAAACCATTTCCTCCACAACAACATTAGATATAATCATCAATTTTTTCAGCTAGAATATCAGGAATCAATGTTGCCTGATTCATTCCCTCGCAACTACAACCACCTGTTTTCCAACATTCCGGCCATCGAAAAGGCCTACTAGAGCTGCCGGAGCCTTCTCCAGGCCTTCAACTGTGTCTTCCACGTACACAATCTTGCCTGCCTTGATGTTTGGCAAAACCATTTCGAGATACTTGGGATAAAGATGGTAGTACTCGAAAACGAGGAATCCTTCCATGCGAATACGTTTCACAATTAGAGAGATCAAATTATGCACTCCTTCATGCTTCTTTAGGTTATACTGTGAGATCATCCCACACAAGGCTATTCGGCCATGGACCCTCATGTTGGCAATTACTGCTGCCAGCATTTTCCCACCAACGTTTTCAAAGTATATATCAATGCCTTGAGGAAAGTACCTGTTGGATGATTGTAAAATTCAATAAAACCTTTAAAGTGAGAGTTCATTGCAAACTTAATTGTTTGCTAAATTTACTGCTAAACTGGCAATGAGCATTAAAGAGATTAGTTGGATTGCTGATTTCTGTAAACTAATAGAGTTGAACCTATTTCCCGAAAAACTTAAGAAGATCGGTAGAAAATAATTTAACTTACGATGCAAGATTCCCTTAACCACATCCAAGCTATTATTCAAAAGGTACCGTACTAAGTGCAAAATTGAACTTGAACAGAAATACACTAAACCTCTTGTTCTGGTAAAAACTTGATTCATCAAAAGCCATCCCTTTCAAGGTGTTATTCCTTTGAATGGATTTTGGAAACAAGGGTGTCTATATCTTACTGTAAGAGTGTTTTAGAAGGATAGTAAAGAAAGGTATTTATGTCTTGATCAAGCATTTGAACTGCAGCAACTAGGGCTACTAACCTTTTCAGGGCAGCATCCAGGTCTGGTTCTTCTTTATAGTTGAAAGCCGCATCAAACCCAAACTTACTCGTCAGCAAATCAACCTTTTAAATAAAGACATTAACCGATAGATCACAGAAAAAAAGATACTAAGACAAAAAGCAGCATCATGGTGTTTAGAAACATAGAGGTAGCTCAATAAGCAGAATGAAATTAGAAAAAAAATTTCAAAATACTTTCTCTTTGCTTCCGGCACTTCCAACAACATAGCAACCAAGTAACTTTGCGAATTGCCCAACAAGCTGACCCACAGCACCAGAAGCGGCTGAAATAAAGACATACTCTCCTTTCTTAGGAGAGCAAACCTCGAAAAAACCAGCATAAGCAGTCATACCAGGCATACCTGCAAAGTTCACAGTCACAATAACCAGAATATGTTTAAAAAAAAAAACAGATGAGCTTTCAGTATTTGGCAGAAGAAAAATTGGTTGAAGAGAAAGGTGAAGGATGTTAATCAATGGAAGTCAATATAAAATATCTTCAATTTCCCAACAAATGGAAGTATAAGTCAATGTTTTGGCTTATAATTTTAGCAGAAACTGATATAGATTTTAGGCTAAACATAATTTGAACAGAAACTTGCTTACCAAGAATTCCTGTATAATAAGAAAGCGGCACGTCTTTGTGTTCAATTTTAAATAGAGATTTTGTTTCTGTAAGAAAACTATATTCTTCCCATCCTGTGATTCCCCAAACCAAGTCATCCTTCTTCAAGTCTGGATTCCGGGAACACACAACTTTCGCCACGCCATATCCCTTTATCGGCTACACTACGTAAACGATTATATTGTCACTAATTCAATCATCAATGCAAAACAAATGGCGATTACTCAGTGTTGGGACCCAATCAAAAAACATAATCCACTGTGTAAATTAAAACAATCACCAAATTGATCCATATGATCCAATTAATACTATCAAGCCAATCAAAACCGATGCGTCAACAATAAAATAATAGCAAGTAAAGAAATAATCATAAAAGGAAAAGATACAAAATTTTACATGAAAAACCTTCAAGTGTAGAGGAAAAAACTTTGAGGCAAACTTTGAGTCAAATCTATTATTAAAGAGAACAAGTACAAAATATTTTGAAGTAATTCACACCCCAGATAACCAATGATAGAGAAGATACATAAATACCTCTCAATCAACATTACAATTTTTGATAATTAACTGAAAAATAAAGCCAAAAGAAAAAAAAAAACAGATCTTGAATATGTTACAAATAAATGGAAAACAAACATTTGTTACTAATTCAATCATCAATGCAAAACAAATGGGGATTACTCCCAACCTTAATATTACAGATAATCCTCCTTCATTCTACTGTTTTTTTATCATTACTTTTCAGAGTTATCTTTTTCATTTGTTCCAATATCTAGAACCCTTTTGTTCTATCCTGTAAATAATGTAGCAAAAGTCTTAATGACTAAGTTGTGGGAAATTTTGCCAATTTGGGGAATGGTGGATTGAGAGTTTCATCATTTCAAATTCTTTTTTTTTTTTTCCTTTTTCACAAACCCCAAAACCTGCTTCTCCCAGATTATTGAGTTCACACATATATGCTATGATACATACATGTGGAATACACTATGATAAAGGAATTTGTGCATGGTGGGTAAGGATTCATATGTTCAAACCCACCAAGTATATACACATCTATACAAACTATGACCATGACCTAGGAATTTCCATATGGTGGGTCAGGATTCATGGGATCAAAACCCACCAAAACCTGGTTAAATTTTTTCTTCTGCAAAAAAAAAATAAATAAAAAGGACATAGAATTCCCCAAGTATATCCCAGAAAAGACAATAACGATAATCAGCAGATATCAAAAAATGGATAATCTGCAATGGAGAAGAACAATATAGAAAAATGGAGTAGCATTGGTTACAGACCAAACCGGGTTGAAAGGAGTCAACATAGGATCCACGAGTATTGGACATTCGACTTCGCATGTAAGGATCACAGGACAGGTAGAGATTCTTAACCAGGACGCCATTGGAGCCTTCCGGAACTTTCAACTCGATGGTGCCGCCATTGTTGATGTACAAGTCTGTCTCTTTAGGAAAACCCGTTACATATTCTTTGAGTATCACCTGCTTATTTCTCACCACCAGTCCATCATCAGTCGACATTGTTGTTGCAGTAACGGCGGAGAGGAAATGGGATTGATGGAATTTCTGTTTTGTTTTTTCTTTTACCCTTTTGGTGAAATTAAAATAGGTAGATCATGGAAAGTGCATTGATAATTCCGCTTACAGAGACTAATAAATCCAAAATTAATATAATTTAAAAATGTTTAAATAATTGTAGGAAGGAATTCCATTATTTTAGAAAATAGAAATAGAAAAATTATCTGGGAATGATTGAGAAATTTTCTTAATATAAAAAAAAAAAAAAATGAAGGAAGCAACTTAATCATCATCTTATTGTCATTTAGCAGTAAGCTCAATCTTCTTGTCTTCTACATATCCCAAAAAACCAAAAGGCAAAACTTGAGGCCTAAAAAAATGAACCCAAAAAAAAAAAAAATAATAATAATAAAGAAAATATGATAAATGATAACAAAATTGAATTTTTTTAGATATATTTAGAGTGGATAATATTACAGTTTTATCTACAGAATTTTTAACTAATACTTAAAAACTATATTTAATGATATTTATAATAATTTTTAAAATAAAAAATAGCTATTAATATGAGTTATATAAAATATTAATATGAGCTATTAACAATGTGTTCTGCTATGTCTAATGTAAATATAAAAAGAAGTGTTTATCCAATCAACTGTTAATTAATTATGTACCATCTTTGAATGTGCTCAGCGAGAGTAGAACAACACCAAAAGTTTATCAGAGAGATTTGGGACAGAGCAATTGGAGGGGAGAGGTGTCAGGTTGTTCAGATTAGGAGAAACGGGTTAAAGTTGTGAGACTTTTAGTTCTAATTTCGGATTAATTCAGATCGATTTATTCGTAGGTTTATTTTTAACACATTTTATGATAAATGTTATCCACGAAATAATTTATTGAATTAAACTTTACAACATGTCAAGTCTAATAAGATGTGAAAAACGATTTAACAGTGTTAACGATTTCCGACAGAAATATGATATTTCAAAAAATTTCTACAAAAAAAAAACCAATAATTATATTAATACAAAGATAGTACATATACTAAATTAAGTAAAACTGTATAATACAGGAACCAAAAATGTATTTAGGGCATTATATTTGTATAACCTTTTAACTCGTTTTGCTTCTTGAACACCTGATAACTTTTAAATGCGGGAAGAGTGAAAAACAGTAAGAAGCCGGAGTCCTCATTAGACCAATATGTATGTCTCCACAAAGACAATTTCTTGTTTTTTTTCTTATTTAATATCCATACAAACAAGAAGTCTGACCAATTTTTATTACACCACTACATTATGTTTGAACGTAGGCACACGTAAAAATATCACTAATTTTTGTCATTGTATGAAAAGATAGAGCCAGGACCAGCTTAAGCACATCTTAAGAAATCCATGTCCCTCATCGGTCTACTCTCGAGCAACCGCAACAACCTGTTTCCCAACATTACGGCCAGTGAAAAGTCCTATAAGGGCTGCAGGCGAGCTCTCAAGGCCATTTGCTATGTCTTCAATGTATGTTATCTTCCCTTCTCGGATGTGTGGAAGTACAAGGTCTAGGAACTTCGAATATTCGGGATAGTAGTCTACAACACTAAATCCTGTTATTTGAACCCGCTTGTAAATAATAGTCATCAAATTCCCCACACCTTCAGGCTGATCAAGATTGTATTGTGAGATCATTCCACATACAGCTATTCGGCCATGGAGTCTCATGTTTAAGAGCACTGCATCAAGCATCTTCCCCCCAACATTTTCGAAGTAGATGTCTATGCCCTCAGGGAAGCATCTGGCAGGAACACTCCAAGGTTCAGTATGTGAATTTAATAGTTTATTGCTATACATCATTATGAATCATGATACCCACCTAAATCATTTCCATCCCACATATTCCATAAAATAAATTTATTTGTTTATAGTAGTTATGTAGGTGGAGGAGAACCTTGATATGTCAAGCCAAAGGCCATACCTTCTACCTAGAGTATTAAATCTCATCAGGTCAATCTACCAATTGCTGAAGTTACTACCTGTCCAAGGAGCACATTCTTTTTTCTTTTTTCTTTTGTGGGAGCATACAGAGTATTTGTATTAAATCTCATCAGGTCAATCTACCAATTGCTGAAGTTACTCTGTCAAAGGAGCACATTCTTTTTTTTTTCCCTCTTTTGTGGGATTATACAGATTATTTATTTCTCGTAAAATGCAACATAAGTATACTGACCTTTTCAAGGCAGCAGCCAGATCCGGCTCTTCTTTATAATTAAAAGCGTCATCAAACCCAAGCTTGTTTTTCAATAGGTCAACCTTATTCAGGAAAAGAAAATGCAAACAGAAGCAAACATTATGCTAAGATTTGTGTCCCAGAGTAAAAATGTATTCCTTTTATAAGTTTTCATATATTGCAGAAAACATAAAATATTAGGTTCCTTGTGCTTGATAATTGTTATTGTCCTGGATGAATCATTGTCAAGATATAACCATCAAGTTAAGAGCAGAAAGTTAACTTAAGCCAAATGAGCTTACCTTCTCTTTACTTCCAGCACTTCCCACCACGTAACAACCCATCAACTTTGCAAATTGTCCAACAAGCTGACCAACAGCACCGGATGCAGCTGAAACGAAAACATATTCTCCTTTCTTGGGAGAACAAACTTTATAAAATCCAGCATAAGCAGTCATACCAGGCATGCCTGTTAGATCGTCAGGGGAAGAGAGAAAAATAGTAAGACGTGCATATTTCAACATTTATAGACTGATTTAGGCACACCAGATCCACAAATCAACACTGTAAGTAACATAAGCCATATGCATATGGATATAAAAAGAAAATCCATTATCTGCATATGCATACACTGTATTTGATCAGCAAAAACGTAATTAATAAATCTAATCATCAGCAAATCTGCACATGCAGCATACAAGAGTCTGCTAAAGTCCGCAGTCATGGTACTTTACACATCAGCAAGAATCAATACATGAAATCTCAAATGCCGAATGAACCAACTCACCAAGAATTCCAGTGTAATAGGACAAGGGGACATCTGTATGGTTGATTTTAAAGAGACTTTCAGGCTTCGTAATGAGACTGTACTCCTCCCATCTAGTTATACCCCAAACCAAGTCACCCTTTTTGAAGTCCGGATGTCCAGAGTCCAGTACTTTGGCCACTCCATACCCTATCAGTGGCTGCACATTCAGCACCAGCAAAAAGGTTTACTAATCCGATTTTCGGACCTAGTCTTTAGATATGATCTTGTTCACTCCCAAGACATCCACTAATTTTCTATCAATAACCAGACAAAGAAAATCACGGACGCTACAACATCCTATTACTTTCAATTTGAATTTATTCATCAGTCTTGCAAATCTTTAGTAAGAAAAGTATTTATCTCCCGTTTGCCAGCGCGCTATTACTCCACCTCTGATAGCTCAAAATCATTGAAGAGAGCAAATTGAAGACTAAAATTTAAAAAGGAAAAAAAAAAAAAGAACTGCTTAACTGAAATTATATATATATATATAGAGAGAGAGAGAGAGAGAAGTTAGAATACCGAGCCAGGAGCGAAAGAGGCGTAAGGGGCAGAGGAAAAGGGAGAAGGTTCCATCTTCCTCATGCGAATTCGCATGTAAGGATCGCAGGACAAGTAGAGATTCTTGACAAGAACACCATCGGAGCCTTGTGGAAGCTTGAGACTCACAGAGGAAGTAGTAATATACATGTGCGATTCTGTTGGAAATCCAACTACATAGTCTTTGAATATCACCTGCTTGTTGCTCACCACTTCTCCTTCACCAACACCACTCGCCATTTCTAACCTCCTCCCTTCCTATTGAGCGGAACTCCTCTCTGATTGGATTGCAAGAAAGTGAGAGTGTCGGTGGAAGATCAGTGCACTTGTTTGCTCTGTAATGCAAGTATATGGAAGTAAAAGTTTGAAGAGACGAGATTTATCTTGCTTCTAGAAAGTGCACCTCCTCTGTGGTTAATTTTGGCCGTTACAGGCTGCGTCTCTTAAATAAATCATTATTTTATTTATTTCTAAATTTTTAAATACTTTTATTGACCCAAATATAAAAAAATTAGCCGCATTTTCTGAAAAAAAATTTAATTTTTTTTTTAAAAAATAATAATAAAAACAAACTACAGACAAAATTATTACGGAAGTATATAAATTTTCCAAATAATTATGTGAAAAAGTGGAGAAGCATATTTACATGTTACACGTTAATACACCAGTTAGTATAATTTTCTTTTTTTTTTTATAAAAAAACCAAATCAATTTGTAAATTATTATAAAACATAAAGGCTAAAGTTTTCCCCCCCCCCCCAAAATAATTTCTTGTTGATTAAGAACATATTTAAAATAAATTTTTTAAAATATATTTTATTAATTAAATAATTTATTCACATTCATTACAATACAATATTTTATTTAAAATATATAGAAGGGTACAACTTGACTGAACCCATCACGTTTTATAGAAGACAAAATATATATTAACTATCCAGTTAAAAATTTATGTATATTTAAGAGTTAAAAAAGTGTAGCATAAAACAAAAAAAAGAATGCAAAATAAATTATGATATTCAAACGTATCATAATCTTTTTTATCGATAATTAATCTCGAAATAAGTATTTGTGAACTTTATGATTAAAATCAATATTTAAATTCTATCGATGGACAATAGCTATCAAATCCGCCATAGCCTTTTGGTTTATGAAGATTAAATTGTGAGATCATTCCTATCTGCGCCTTGTATATTGGGTTGAGAATCTCCTCGTGTAACACTCAACTTTTAATTTTTTTAATTTATATATATATATAATTATTTGTTAATTGAATTTATTTTAATTTAATAAAATAATAATAATAAAAAAATAAAAAGTTAGTTAAGGATTTAATTAAAAATAATTTTTTTTAAAAGTAAAAATTTGGATTTTATGAGTATTTTTTAAAGAGAAATTAAAAATTGAGAGTCAAAACGTAATTTAAAAAAAATTCGCTACGTCAGATGCCCGGTTCGCATCCCCGACCAACCAGGACGCGTCAAGTGGCAGAGGCACTGACGCGGGAGGCCATGAGGGGGGGAGCCACGTAGGCAATCCACGTGCGCGCGATCAAACGGCTGAGATCCGTTCTCGCGCGCACGAGCGGTCCAGATTGAAATCGCGCACGGACGTCACAGATTGAATCGCAATGAACAGCCCAGATTCACTCTCTATTTAATCGCGATCGGACGGTCCAGATCAAAAATGATGGACGGTCCAGATCAAAAGCGGATGGGTATAAATAACCCCATCCGCACCCAAACCCTAACCCTAGCTGCCAGAGCCCTTCGTCGGAGAAGATAGCCCAGCCGCTGGGTAGCCAACTGCCGCTACCCGCCACCGCACCGGAACCTTTTTCGACCGCCAAAAAAGGTAAAAAAATTTCTTCTTGCACAAAATTCAATTTTAAACCCATTCATGACTAAATGAGAGTGAAAGAACTGACCAATTGGCCAAAAACGCCATCGAAGCCCGGCGGCACTGTGACAGAAAATTTCACAAACCACTCCGATGAGGCCATTTCCGATTCCCATTTCGGGTAATTTTTTCACCGTTGTAATCATCGTTTCCTTCTCTACAGGTTGACCAGAGCAAAACGCCTAACTGCAACGTGAGCCAGAGGAGCTGCCGCACCGGAGAGCTCCGCCACCGGTGAGTTTCGTTTTTCTACATTTTTTGGGCCAACCAAGGGCCCTAAGTGTGTTTTTCCACATGAACTGATGCAGATTTAGCTGTCGACCGAAAACAGCCAACCCGAGGTGGATCGCCGCCGTCGCCGTGCTGGATTTTTAAAATTGGCCGAGTATGTCTTAAGTTTGATTTTTGGGTTATTTGGGACATTTGTAGGTACCGTAAGCGCGTTTCAATTTCCGAAGAAAAATTCAGGGAACCCAGGGACCACCTGTAAGCGCAGTAAGTCATTTACCTTTTCAGCGTCAAATCAAATAAGGACCTCTCACCCTATTTCCTATTATGAAATTGAAGTTTGAATAAATAATAATACTGTATTTTGTACAAATTAAATAGATGTACATAATTAATTACGGATTGCTAATGGAGTCCGAACCAGACATTGTTCTCTGTTGATTTCTGTTGATTAATCTTGCAGTCTAAAAGTATGATAGTTTCTTGTTTATATATTGTATGTTTTAAATACATATATTACTGTCTTACTTGATCATTATTTGATTTTGGGATCTAAGATATGATTGTATTGTCGGATGCATTTTTACTTGTTTATGTATTTATGTTTGATTTGATAACGGAGACCAAGGAAAAACAAGAAATGGGTGTGATCTGATAAATAGATAAGATGATAGTTTCACTAAATATATTGGGAGATGGTGGACAGATCGGGTTCATAGGGAACCCTACCGTAAATGTTGTCTCATACCAAACGGGGTATGGAGACTTGGTCATTTGACGTTCATACTGGACAAGGTATTAAGATTTAATATCTTAGCACTCATACCGGACGGGGTATGAGGTCGACTATGTAATTAAGACTGTTAAGAGAAAGGAGTTCACGTGTAGCAGGGACACCCTTATGGATCCCCATGGATACTAGTAAGCTAGTGAAACGAGAAACGGTTACGAGTTCGTCTATTGTTAATAGATATGGATTTATAATATGTACCATGATGGTTGATTATACATGAAATTATGATCTGTGTGATATTAGTACTTCTATAATTTATTTTCATAAATTCTCCAATGGTAAGTAAAATGGTAAATAGTTTTATTTTAAATGAATGTATTGGTTTAAATCTACTACTCTATTAGTTGTTTTGATTTTCTACCAACTTTTACTTTTGTGACGGTGATATAGTGTGATGTCTTTATTGAACTAGTGTAACTCATTCCTTATTTAACTATTTCTGATAAAAAAGACCTAATTCCCCGAGCCCGATCTGCAAGAAAAACTGCGAGTAAATACTAGATACTTTATAGTTTCCTTTACTTTTCTCATTTCTCGTATTTCTTTTCAGAGAATTCATTCCGTGATGTTTGTTTAGTACTTTTAAGTTATTGTGTAATGGATGTAAATTTTTAACTTTTTTAATTCGCTTCCCGCAATTTAATTATATATTTTCCTTT